TTATATATTATTATATAGTTTTATATAATTAGATATTATCTACGTGTATTTAATATAAACCCCAGTTTACATTCTGCCTCTTAAAAGTTGTCCCTTTACAATCCATGTTGCCCTTGGCACCGACCCGGCCAGACGAGCCAAATCTCTTTATAGAATCGTTAATAATATCGATAATGTCCTGCCCACCAACGTGAAAGTCAATGTTGCCGTGCTTGCCGTTGCCCTGCACGCCAAATTTACACTCGCCATATTCCTCAATCTGATGCTGGCTCCCAATGGCATTCTCAATCTCGTGATCGGTAGGCTGAGGACGGGCCTGTATCTTCTCGACGAGCTTGAGGCAGTCGGAAACGGGAGGAGAGGCACCGCTTGTTTGGTCCACAAACGTCGAGTCGCCGCAGTAATCGTCATTCTTTGGCACGACGCAAGGATAGCCCGCTGCAGTGGTATCCGGTCCGTCGTCGCTGCCGATCCAAGCCTTGCGGGCCACGGCCGGGCTGCAGACGGGCATGCGGATATACCCAGGTGCCGTTATGTCCTGGCGGCCGAGGCTTTCCGCGTCCGCGAGCTTGCCAAGGTCCGGTGACGTGTTGGTGTTTTGATTACCGTTGCTTTTGTACGTTCTGACGGATCTATCAAGGGTCCAATGTTAGTCGCGTGAGTTTTACGCCTCGGCCCCCATCATTGAGTGCCCTAGGTATGCCGGAGCATTGTACAACTCTGGAGCGATACTAGAAGTGAGGTTTAGAGTAACATAAGGAGAAAGACATCAGGGCTCACCCAGTAATGAGATTAGACAGCGTAACCTGCCCAAACGATGATCCGTCGAGCCATTCTATGCCCGGCAGCGCAGAGAACGTATTGTCTTTGCACTGCTGAGGACCTCCGCCGATGGGCGTGAAGCAGTATTTCGCGCCGCCCTTGGGAGTAGCGAGATAGTACAGCTTGTCATCGACGCAGGCCCATGACTTGTGCATGGCGTCGGGCTTCATGTACCCGCCGATGGGGTCAATTGTGCCGCAGGCAAAGCCCGAGTCGATGATGAAAGGTGACATGCCCGAGACGGACCAAATCGCAGGTATGGCGTAAGCAAAGAAGGCCTTCCCAATCAACGTCTTCAGGGCAGCGTTGCCACCAGCCCCCGGCAGCTTGCTGTCCTTGCCGACAATGAGCTTGCCATCGGACAGGAGAGAGGTCAGCAGCTCGATACTTTCATCCGATCCGTCAAAAATCTTTTTCACCGTGCGCTCCGAGAGATCGGCCCAGGCGCTGAGAGCTTGGCCCATGTAGTGAGAAAACTCGGCTTGCTTTCCAGGCGTCCACGCATCACTAGGCGCAGCATTTACAAATTAGTCATGTTGACAAGTCGGACGCGGTCACGCTTGAATGAGGAGGGTGCTTAGAAATAAGGGCATGTGGTGAGGAACTTACTTCGATCCAGTGCTTAGCATGTCCTTGGCTATCGTTGTACTTTGCCCGATGAGCGTCATGGTGGTGTCCTTGAGATTGCCTGCCGCGGCGCCATTCTTTGCAAAGTACGACAGGCCTGATAAAACTGTAGAAGCAGTCACACCTTGTGATTAGATTCTGTTGACGCACGGTTGTCGAGCGACGGAAGGCACTTACAGGAATTGAAGAACGGCCCCGCGGCCATACTCACGCCCAGCGTAATGAGATCGATCAGGAGAAAAAGCCACTGGTTATCCGGAGGCGGAGGTACTGGCGCAAACTTGTTTTCAAAGTCGACAAGCGCATTGTCTATGTACGTGGCCGCCTCGGCAGTCAGGGCTTGCTGAAAGTCCGCATACATCTTCAAAACGCAACGCCGCATCCAGGATTAGCCAGTGAAACAACAGGGTCAACAAGTTTGAAGGACACGGTTCCCCGCTCTATGATGGATAATCAAACAATTGGACTGATGCTTACCCCGTGAATCGTGACAAAAGAGTTGAAAATCTCGTAGCCGGCCGGACCGGTACCTGATCCCACAAAGTCGGTGCATTCTTTGGTATTGTCGCAGTGACTAGAAGACTGCAGTGTCCCGCAGTCGACTCCCTGGGGACCATGTAGTATGTTGCTGACGGCCTCGGTAAACGTCTTGGTTGACTTTCCCCGGTAGTACGTCTTCCATATGTCTATCACGTCCTTCCACGCGTCGGCGGCGTCTAATCTGCTCCACCGTTCAGACGGCGTCAAGTTGTCGTTATCCACGACAGCTCGGTCCGTACAAGTCAAGCTGGTCCAGTTCCCATGCCGCTCCCCTTTCTGGTCTGGGTCTCGGCCAGCCTTGATATTCTCCCTGAAGATGGCCCAGCTGGGTGACGCAGAGTCTTGCGGGACATTGTGATAGTCCTCCAGGTCGATGGCCCAGTTGGTTGTCCCCCCCATGTTGAGCGTCTTGTATATCACCGTCCTCGTGCTCCGGACCTCGGGGCTCATGTAGCTAACCCACTGGATATCATCGTAGACAAGGATGTTGCTGTTGCTCGGCCCGTCGAGGAAGTTTTGGTTCACTCGGCTCGAGTCCTTGACAATCTCCTTGATTTCCGCATCGGCAATGTAGCCAGCCGTGTCTGTGCATCGGCCCTTTGCCGCATGAGAGTCGCGAGGACCCCCCGTGTAGAAGCAGTCCGGGCCGTAGCAGCCGGCTTGCGCCATGCCAAAGGACCGTCCGTAGCTCGTCACCCCAACCACAATCTTGCCCGAGGGGACGCCCGCCTTGGTGATCATGACGAGAGAGTTTATCGTCTCGGTCAGGTTGACACCGCTGCGTAGACACATGCCCGAGGGGCAGCCGACTTGCGACCACTGGTTCTGCGAGTCCCACTGGCCGTGAAGATCATAGGTCATGAAGACAATGTAGTCCACAATCAGGCTCATGGCCCGGATGGGGAAACCCTTCAGATACCAATACGACGCAGGTGCAGCAATGGAGACGGATTTGCCACCGAGCAAGTTCTTGAGAACCACCAAGAATTTAAAGTAGTCCATGCCCTCTTCCTTGGACCCAGGCGGAATGTCCGGAATGTCAGGGGCGGACGGATACTCCCAGTCAATGTCGACGCCGTCGAGGTCGTGCTTCTTGATAAAGTCGGCAATGTTGGTCGCCAGAGTCAAGCGGTTAGCGTCCTTGACTCCCTCGCGGAAGATGGTATACGTTTCCGGGCTCGTCGAGAAGTCCCAGCCGCCAAACGACAAGATCCGCTTTGCCCCCTGAAGCCGCTTGAAGTTTTCAAACTCGTACGTCGTCTCGGCATTTCCGGTGTGAACCTGATAGTCGTGCGTGATCATGCCAAAGGCAAAGTGTACATGTGTGTACTGAGAGCCGTCGATTTGCAGGGCGTCCTGATAGAGGCACTGGCGGCTGCTGAAGCTATAGCCTTCAAAGTAGCCAATCTTTCGGAACACGGCCGGTGCATCGCCGCGGACAATGGTGGTGCCGCAGTTTGAAATGCAGCCGTTTGTGCCGGGCTCGGCGGTTCCCGGGGCCCCCGTGCTCGTATCTACACAAAACTCCGTTGTGGTGCCGCACTTTGTTGATAGTCAAGTCAGCGCAACGTTACTTCGTCCCTTTGTGAGCAGGACATCTTACCTGGCCCCAGACATCGCAGCAGGCGTTTAAAGGACAAGGATTGAGCTGAGAAATGTCGGCTCCGGCGGCTGCCGGTTGAGTCCCCGGGACTTGCGGGCCACAGACGGCGTTGGTCACAGGCGCCGGCATTGGTGGTGTTCCCGAGCTCAAGCATATGCGGATTTCATCCCAGATGTTTTGGCATCCATTCCAGCCCCATGTTTTCTTATTATACCTTTCGAGGTCCTTGATGGTGATGCTGTTGGCGGCGGCGATGCTTGAGCAGCTGTCGCCGGTGTGAACCGTGTATACGTGGCATGAGCCGTCTGCGCCGGGTTTCGGCGTGAAGTCGGGTAGGGATCCGGACGAGCAGCAGGCGTGCTGTCCTGGCATAAGAGAAGCACAAAAGTTGGAGCCTGGGTTGTATTCCATGAAATTTGCTCCGGATATGCCGCATCTCTGAGCCAGAGCTGCGCAACTATCACCGCCCTGTACCTGGACCGTCCTACAATCAGCACGAGCTGAGAAGGGAGAGATTCGGGACTTGAAATCCTCTGTGGAGTTGGTCTCTCGATTCCTGGAGAATGTAGTGTTCATTGCTGACGAAGGCGGAGTGATAAAATAGGCTGGGCCGGTGAAATTGCTGGATTCATTGAAGGACAGACAGTCGGCCCTCGCCCAGGCTTTGATAGCATTCTGAATAGGATTAAAGGTGCCGTTGCTAGTGGCCATGACTCCGAATATGTGGTCTCTGCCACGATCCGGAGCGCACATTTGCATGGCAACATATGGAGTTTGGAGTTTGGAAGAGTAGACCTTGTCCTCTAATGCTTGAAGCGCAAATGAACTGATGCCCTCATTCTGCAGCCCCTTCCCAATGTAGATGCCAATGGCCGTCTGGCCTATCTGGGCAAATGAGAAAGTCGTTTCGTTCGTAGATCCGTGCCCATTGGAGAGGTATTGACGTAATTGCTTGATCAAAACGACGACGGCCCCAACCGAGGACCGTCCCGTAACGTCATCGGCCTGCCATCCAATTTCATATGTGGCATTGCGTAAGAGCTTTACCGGTAGTTTTGCCGCGGTCCCGGGCAGATTGTCCCAGTCTGAACCATACGAGGCACAAGAATAGATGCGATGAAGCGACTTTGCGTCGTCAACGTTGTCGTGGATGTTGAACTCGTAGAACAAGGTCTCTTGACACGACTGGAATTGGCCAAAGTTGTGATAAACTGACCAGTTGGAGGAACTCGACCCGGAAACAACGCAACGCTCTGGACAGGCATCTCTGCTAGAGTAGCCTGGGCTGGCAGGTTGTCTGAAGGCTGCTTGGGCAGAAGCTATAGCAAGGTTGGTAGAGAGCAAGTGGCCGATGGCTGTAAGCAGCGCCACCGACATGAACCAAGACGCGGCCATCGATTCTGAGATTCCTACTGTACCATGTAAAAACAGACCAATCTCAGATACTCTGTTCCCGACATCCACACGTCCCAGAGTCGCCCTTTTGTGCCCCATGGACAACCAACTCATCAGACAGCGCCAAGACTTTGTATACCCAACACAGGCACACAGTATGGAATCTTTGTCTTGTGTCCCGTCTGCGGAGATGTCTGTGATGGATACCTAATTTCTTACCGCTTCTAGTGTAACTCATCCTCGAGACGACGTGAAACTATCTCTCGTCGGGCTGTTACGCGGGCACGACAGCTTCCCGTCCGGGCCCATCTAACTTTGCCCACTGTCTATCTTTTTTAAGTGTTGCGAAAACCCCTATGCAGCTGAGTATTATCATGGGTCCCAATATGTAAGCTTACTTTATTGGATGCACTCAACCAGTTTGGCTCGTTTCGTTACGAATGTATTTGCCGCCCCGTTCCCTACCAGGACAATTATTCCGCTATTTATGGACAGACTAATGCTGTAATTATATGTTCTTATTGTAAATCCGGTCAAATCCGTAAGCTCATTATACTAAATTGGCGAGTCCTGCCAGCGCCAACACCAGCCACGATATTTGCCCCCATGAATATGGCAAGATCTGCGTGCCCGCGCTCTGACCTTGCGGCTTAGGCGGACAGGTGACATTTGGGTTGAGGCCCTTCATGCACGCGTTTGATTCGATGTCATACAAGATGCTTGATGCTGTGGTGGCGTTGACCTTGGCCAAGCAAGGGTTTGGCTTCGGGGCTTCTGGCGCCAGAATCGGGCAAACGTCATGGTCCACGGATTGTCTATTGAACCACGACACTTCCTTCACCTCAGTAATGTTGAAAGCGACTCCAGTTGTCTTGTCGCATACACCGTCTTTGGAAGCAGCGACGAGATCGGGCTGCTGGGCACCATGTTTGGTAGAGAAGTGGACGAGATTCCGCTTGTAGTTCAGATCGAGTTTCAGCGGACCAGGTGCCCGGCCCGTATCGGTACAGTTTGCTGAATAAACTCCCCACCACATTGCCCAGCTCCCCTCGGTGTTGTTGAGCCGAGTAGTCCAGTCGTAGACAAAATGCAAAGTGCTGGCGTTGGTGGAGTAGTTGGCATGATTCAGGAAAATGATGCCCTGTTGAATGGTTGTATTCCACGACGGAGTGTGGAAGATATCAAAGTCAATCTGTAGGAATAGCGGGCGACTAGCAGGAAAGTTCTGAACGGCAAAGACCAACGGCATCAACGCGGCTGGTGCATATGTGTCGTTGTGAGGGAAGACCAAGTCCACCTCGACCGTCTCGGGTTTTGAGGCATCCGCGGCTACAGAGAGACAGCAGGCCAGAAACAGAAAACGCCGGACCATGTGGCTCAGTATCTGGCCGAAAACGGCCATTGTGAACAGAGAGAGGAGACCAAAGTCCGTGGGCGAGCGCGGCAGGTTGGACGCAGGAGCAGGAGTCGAGCATGGGGCTGTGGCTCGTGAGCGACTTGCGTAGTATTTATTGGCACCGGGGCATACGGAAAACTGAAATGGGATGTTTTTTCGGCCTCCAGCGTCCTGACGGTCATGTGCCCGTCATCCGTCAGAACCAACACGGCTGGGAGTGTGACCATTCGGCTGCAGCCGAGTAGCATCGCGAACCAACCGGCCAACCATAGACCAAGTTCGGAAATTGCCCTCGTGCCAAAATCTGGGACATCAGGCCGCTCGGCCTTGATGAATGGGAATTAACCCCACAAACATGCATGGCGTGGATCGACTCCATGCAAGGACCGGGATGACGGCCGGGTGGCCTTTATTCCTAAAGTGCATGTAGGCAACCAAAAAGCAGTGCGTTGCGAATGCTTGCATACTGTCTGGTAGTATCAATAGTTTCCCGAGTAGAAGAGTCAGTTTCTGCAAACAATCCCACATGTGCCTGTTGACGAAAGCATATGTATAACCTGGGTTGCCGTCAACGTGCCATTCACGGCCAACTATCTCACATGCCCCTACCAGCGCCTTGACTCTTGACGCTCGTTGTTTTGAAGCCATGCATCTCAAGTCGCTTTTCGTCAAGGCCTGTCTCCCATGGCTGCTTTGCGCCAGTGAGCTGCGTCCGCGAGGCGTTGTCTGCAGCTTCTCTACCCCTGCCAGCAATGGAGATACTTGCGACTCCTTCTGCAAGAGCTGGGGCCTCGACATGGCCAAATTAAAGTCGTTGAACCCAGGGATCCAGTGCCCCGACCTCGTGGTTGGCCAAAACTACTGTGTTATAGGCAGCGTGTCGACAGAACCAGACACCACGACCCAATCCTCCACCTCGGGCAGGACAACCACAACCAAATCGACGTCGACACTGACCACTTCGTCGTCTCAAAACTCCCCTACGCAGCCTGGATTGGCGCCTAACTGCGACAAGTTTTATCGTGTGTCAGAGGGCGACCAGTGCGATAGTATCGAGGCTAAATTTGGCCTCAGCTCGGCTCAGTTTTATGCTTGGAACCCTTCCGTCAACACCCGTAGGTCATTTATTCTCACCGTATGAAGCAAAAGATGTAATGGTATCCAAAGTAGCCTAACAGACCTGTGATAGAATGTACCAACCTCTGGCTCGGCTACTATTATTGCGTTGGTGTTCCTGGTGCGGTCACGACGCCACCGACACCAACACCCACGAAGCCGGCAAATGGGTAAGCTACATCGAGACCTCAAACTATCCATCCGCAAAAGATGGGACCGTGGCATACCAGCGCTAACACAAACTATCTTAGCATTGAGACTCCTCAGCCCACGCAGCCAAACATGGTCTCTTATTGTAGTCGATTCAAGTGGGTGAACAGCGGCGATACATGTGCCAACATTGCGGCCCAGAACGACATTTCTCTAGCTGATTTCATGAAATGGAATCCAGATGTGGGCAATAACTGCCAGGGGCTGTGGGCAAATGCATACGCCTGCGTCGGGGTGGTGGGCTTCACCCTTTCCACCTACTACTATATCGATTGTACTGGTGACGTACACAATACCCAAAGCGTTCAGATGCACGAGGATGGTGCGTGTATCAACACGGACTGCCGGGTAGGGTCTGTCAAGGCGATCCCACAGGGTATCTGCCCAGACGGCCAAATACAAATCAGTTACTGGGAGCAGCCGGGCTGCACTGGCAAGTGGTTCGGCTATGGATATACCAGCAGAGACACATGTCGTAAGATGTGGACCGAAGGCTGGAAGTTCAAGTCGCTACATGTAAGGTGTGCCAGCGAAAAGGACGACTGTGTGAGCAAAGGCACCTGTACGTTTGACCCGGAGCCAGCCAATAATGTATGCTAGACCAGGAGACAGATAGAATCTCCAGAAAGAATAGAGAAAGGACTATCCGTCATCGCATGTCTCGATCAGCAAGAGTAGTCCGCCTGACTTACTTCTCTCGTTTATGAATCTGGAAACTTTGCCACAATTACCACCAACTATCACTTGTATATATGGCTGTGACAAGGGCTAGGAGCTAGGAGCAATTACTCAATTCATCTAATAAAAGTCTTTGGTATCAAAGGTCCTTGGTTTTCCCCAAGGCCTTGAGGGACCAAAGAGGTCTATTTATACAAGAAATCGGCGAGGTTCTTCTGCCCTAATCCCGTGACCGTAGCCCCCGTGTCGCCGTGTGACAATGGCTGAGGCTATCGCGAGATGGCTTAAGCTAGCGGGCCGCGATGAATCATCAATTATATTAGTGTGTCTGACGCGTCATAATACGTCGACGGTAGACGGTCTATTCTTTTAGTCTCTTACTATTCTTGGCTTAGTATAGCCTAATACCTTACTACTAGATATTATGCTTATATGATACTTATATTATGCTTGTATTATTACTCGTCTTGAGATGGAAATAACAAATAACTCAATAAACAACTTGATAACTTATATATAATAAGTTGGTGTTTGAAGGTGACAATTCTTGCAAGTGGCAGTATATAAGCCAGCGGAGACAGAGATGGAGCGTTTTCCGTTTTAATCCTAATTACACCAAAATCTGGTTCTTCGACAAGATTCATCGTCCAAAACCGAGGCCTGTCGCTTCTTTTACTGATCCGCTTTGGGATCGTACACGGCAGAGCTGCCCATGCGGAGGAGAAAGTACTTGGTATAAGCAGCAGCAGTCGCCGCTGCATAGTCATGCCACTCGTCATTCTTATGCGAGTCCGCGTAATCGCATATTCCTCGAACAATCAAGCAGTGTTCGGTTGTCATGACGCCAGCGCCTTCCATTTCAAAGCATAAAGCGCCGGTTTGAGCACGAATGCGATCCCGCATCACTGCATCCCTTATAACCTGGTTCCCAGAGGCAATGCGACCGTAATGTATACGAGGCCCGGACTCCTGAGTTGCTCTGGAAAAGTATGAGCCCTTGCAGTTTCTACATGTCTCTTGGCCATCTTCATGTATAGCATGAGGTTCAAACAGCTTATCGTGGTCTTGCTCAGGTTTTTTATAGGCATCCGACCTTCTGGACATGAATTCTATACAAGTTTCCATGAAAACTTGACAGCCGTCTCGCTCAGACTCAACGAGACTGATTACAGTCCGTAGCTCAGTGGCCGTGGGCTTCACGATTCCTGTGCTTAGAAACTTGGTGTCCTTTTGCATCGCTTTGCCCATATCGTGCTGAATGACACTGGTGCCGACCACAACATCACCCAGTCGAATATTATGCTTTTCTGAAGGTATTCCTCCTCCAATTCCAACGACGAAATACCATTTCAGATTAGTAAAACTTTTCCCCATGTCTGAGGCGACTTTGGAAGCGGCATTCGTACCGTAATCTTCATATGGAAGACAAGCAGCAACTATGTTCTGACCTCCTAAGCAGCCAAGGACATATGTATTCATGTCTTTGTGTCGCCTTGGTAGATCTTGATGATGGCTGTCGAGTAGGGTCCTCACGGCCTTCAACTCCTTGGGCAAGGCACAAATTATTCCTATCCTATAGTGCTCGTGTTGAAGAGCATGAATACCGGAACTGGAGCTCGTGGGTGAATGACCTTGTGACTCAGGTTCGGTGGGCAAACGAACACTCGAGCCAATCCCGCTATCTGCAGGGTCATCATCCGACTCTTCACCCGATAATGGAGGCTCTCCCTTGTCAGGGTCTCCGATATCTTTCCATATATAGTTAATGTGTGCATTGTGACCAAATACCACAGCGCCAATCTTGTTCAGCGGAAAGGGGGTGCTTCTTCACAGTGTCTCCCTCATACGTGATGGCCATAGAACTTGAGCAAGCTCGCGATGCTTCACCGTGCCGTCGCTGTCGGCGCTGCACGAACATCTCGTGGCGATCTTGGATGGATACCACACAATTGACCCTATCAGTAGGGGGGGATTCGCTCTTGGATCCCCCAGGCGGCTCATAATCCTACTCAGATCCTCCATACTAGCAGCCAGATAATACTTGTTTAATGGTAACGTCTTCCAGTACTTGCACCTGCCAGGGTCTGGGACGGGGTCAAGTAAAGCACCAAAGTTTCTGCCAAACACTGTGACGGCCTTAAGAGCTCGGATAAAATCCACCCATCCCTTGCCGATTGTTTTCAACTTTGCGAGACACGGATAGATGGGATTTTCGTTGTTTGTTGCAATGTCTTTGAAGTCCCAGCCCTCAAGGTCTTTCCGCGGAGAAGATTTGAGCCGCTCTCCTGTTATACTTCTTTGGTAATCAATGAGTTTTTCAAGGGTCCCATACAAATCATTGACCCGATCACGAATTCGGTACTTGATGCTTGCGTTTGATTCGTCCTTCTCATCTTCCTCGTAAAGTTCCATGTCAAGGTTCGACGCATTCAGAAGAACCTCAAGCGCTGCGGAAACGGTATAAGGGTTCTTTGCTTCCCTAAACTTGTCAGACTGGAAGAGGAATCCAAATGATAAATCATCGGATTTGTTAAACTCAAGAGATGCACGCAGGAGATGGAGCAGTGCATTCACTCCATTCACCAGCCACCCACGTTTGCACTCCACGTCCCAAAGCACCACGTACTCCTTGGACAGAGCATATAGCTTTTTCCTGTACGTATCGCCAGAGACTTGTAGTGACACATCTCTTTTCCCCAGGGCTGCTGCATGATCAGATTTAATCAATCGGCCTGGGGTTACCACCTTGCCACTCAAGTTGCAATTCTCATGAAGGCATTTCAACCAGGAACTTTCAATCACATAATTTGCATCGGCAGCTCCTAAAACACATCAACACCGGCTAATAAGCTACACTGTCGCATGGAACTCTTACCTGTAAGATATCTCACACTCGAGGACCAACCAAGAATATGACGATTTGTTTCCAAATCAAACAGATTAGTTTCTTCAATGTGAGGGCCATTGTTGTCGAGATATGAGATGCGATTTCCATTCTTTTTGAAGAGCAAGTGCCACACAAGGATATTGTCAGAATGCCGCGTTGGAACCAGCATGATCGAAAAGCCCTTGATGAATATCTTGTTGTTGAAGAGCTGGATATGACGTGTTCCTGCCAAGTGCGCCATGGTATCTAGACGGATTTCAAGCCCCATGTTGGATAGTGGCCTCCGCGGAATAGGATAGCCTTTCACTATGACTGGATTTCGGAATAAGTCATGCCAGCACTGGCCATTCGGTATTTCGCCAGTGCCATCGACGGCGTCGAGGTTAAAATTGATATTGCAGAAAAATTCTGATCTTTGGGTCACCCCATTGAGTGGACTCGTCCACATTCTGCTCACAAATGCATTGACGACAGCAATTCCTGTCTGGTAGGGGGATGAACGGAGAGCCGAACCGAGCCAAGCGAGCTGCTCTCCAATCTCTGCAATGGATTCTGCTATCCCGGCGACTCCAAGCTTAAAACACGGCCCTAGAGACCAGACTATTAATTGTGTACCATCTGGTAGATAATCTTGAGCTAGGGTTAGCATACCAAAAACTCAGGTTTATATGTTGGTTACGCACAGAACGATCGTCCAGGGCAAGTATCCTGCATCGCAGCCTTCACGGCATGTAAAAGGTGAATGCCAGATGATGGCCACGTTTGACCTAGATACTCTGTCGTCGTTGCTGCTTGAGCATCTGTTTCCGAGCCAATAATTGTAATAGCCCGTTCCAGTGTTCTCTCGGGGCTATCCAAGTAGTCTTGTTCTTGTAGAAATTCACACAGGTCCCAGTCTGCAGTAAAGGTCAAATAATGCGTTTGTGGTATTGCTTCTCTGCTGATTCTCTTGGCTCTGGGCAGGAGTTGTAAAATTGTGTTCCTGATATTAGTCTGCACATTTCCAGCATCATCCATGTACAGGGCTCCCTGGATGCGCTCCAAAAGCCATTTGTACTCGGGGAGTTTCGATATAAAATCCTTGTAAACAGAAAGCTCTGGCAGAGAATCAGCGGCTGGGTCGGCTTCGTCAAGATCCTCGTAATAGATATAATCGCTTATATCTTCCGAGATCTCATTAGGAGCAATATTCAGATCTTCTAATGTATCTGTGTGCTGACGCCAATGCCTGACAAGATCTCCCGGATCTATTCTTGTAACATTATTCCCGAGAACATCGGAGCGGAGGTTATTCTCCTCATTATACCTATCCCTCATGGCCTTGGTAATTTCACTATGTGTTGTAAAATTAGAGCCTGGGCAACGATACATTGGTGGATAAACCCTACCCACCTTCTGTGCCTTCGCACAAATACCATCACGTCTCTATATATCTGCGTTGAACCACCAGATCCAACCTTTATAGCAAACGTCTTTAGAAGTTGAGGAAGCAATTTTTCTATTCTGTCTAGGCCGTCCTCATCGGGCTTCTCCGTAAAGGCCTTGTTAAACAAGTCGTCCGCAAGCCAAAAGATATTTGCGTTCTTCTTAGATAGCGGAACATCAGGATCTGCTGTGTATATCGAGTCTGCATCGTCCGAAAATTGAGCTTCATAACCAAATTCTCCAGTACATGAAACACCTTCGACCTGTTCTGAGTTAGTACTGTAGTTTGATCGTGCCCCATTGCTGGATCCTCGTGAATTAGAGTCCTCGTCATTGTTGAAAGGCCGCCACTGCTCAAACTCTTGATCTCCTTCTCTACCATCACGCTGGTGGCCTAGTCCTGACTGACCAGACAATATTGTTAGTTCCAGGGTCGCTGGTTCAGTAGGCTCAGTACTGCAGTATGGTGAGTTTTGGCTTGATCCGCCGTGGGAAAAATCGGAAGACGTTCTTTTCCCGGAGCCGACGACGGATTCGAACCACGGCGTGCGACTTAAGGGAATGTCATACAATTGTGTCGTGTATAAAGTGCGGTTTTTCGCAGCTGTTGTAATCGTCTCCGCAAGCGTAGCATCGACTTCTGCACGAGACACCGATGGATCGTTGTTAAAGGGGAGAAAAGACCTCTTGACATAATCACGCACTGGTTCAGGCCAGTTTGTCTCAGGCTCCGACTGCTGTGCTTGGGCGGGGGCTACAAATGGAGGAATTGTTGGAAAATGGTGCAGGTTAAAGCCGTGACAAACTTGGGCAGGGATAAAGGCAGAGTTACTCCCAGTGCAACTTGGAACAGATCCAAATGCCGGAGCCGAGGGTGCAACAGGAGGCGGAGAAACGGCTCGGTCTTGGGCTGACGGCTCTTGAGACATTGACGGGTGGTTGCGTTCGTGGCCCTCCCAGGGACTGCGCCTGATTGTGTCTGCCCCTGGGGAGCCTCTATCTCCGGGGGCACGGTTCTCCTGATTCCATTGAGCCTCTTCAGATCGAGTTCGAGGATATCGGTCGCCGTAACGATCATCACTCTCTCTTTCTAGTACCCCACTCCTGAAGCCACCATTGTGTTCAAAAGTCTGCATTACAAACGGCGGCTCATAGTCTAACGGGAGTGGTTGGGGAGAATTTATACGTAAGGCGTCGGGCAGCCTATAGTTGAGCGGGGTACCTTGAGGAGGATTTGAACGTAACCCCGGGGATATATCATGAGGTCCGGGGCCATCTGATAAAAGCTCATCTCTGTCTCTGTCGTAAAAACACTGTGAGGGTGTTCGACTCCGTCTTCCTCTAGGCGGTGAGCGACGAGAGCTAAAGTCTCGCGACTTTCTCCAATCTCGATCTCTGTTTTCGTCTCTAGACGGCCAAGCCCTGCCGCTGCCTGTGTCTTGTCCCCAACCGTCAAACCCACCCACGCTGAAAGCGCTCAGGGGGTAGATGTTGTCTTGACCGTCATAAGGGGGTTCTGTCTGCAATAAATACTCGAAGCCATCACGGTTTAGTAGGTTTTCCGATGAGTTAGATGTGCCTTCTGTAATCGAGTGACAGGGATCGTGTTCTCCGAATTGAGAAGGCCTGTCCCTGCGCGATATATCGTTAGCATATCACATTCGGCCCTAGAGTGGCTTCAATGTTTTTGTGGCCGTCGAGGCGCAATGTCAACATCAGAGCCTGGGGTCTTGGCCAATGCGCCCGAAGCCAGTAAAGTAAAAACACATACATGGATCGCGTACACGGGCAGAGAGCCCGGGGTTCTAGCCGCAGGCGATTACAACCACGTCCAGATGCAAAGGCGGTGGTGGCTACTCAGGATCAATTGATCTGTGATGCCGTCGGAAATTGCGAATTGCGGATGGAGATTTGGCAGACGCAAGGTGAGTCGAGGCCGTGGAATAAGTAGTAAAATAGCCAATAATGGTCTCTGACTTGTTTTGAAGAATCACTGATGTTTCCAATGGCCGACGCGGCGCGACGAGCGGAAAATGTTCATCAGGCATCCGTGCAGGAAGATGGATGAAGAGCTGAAGGCCTCACGTTGGGCAGAAAGCAGGCTTGGTATCGATACTGCCAGGCCGAATCAGTCTCACGGTATGGCCCTGCGGGTACCTAGGGTATTGGCTCGCTTCTTTCGTGTCACCCCAACGACTTCAGCCGTTCAAACTTCACATAGCCACAGTCTAGGAGTTTCGTTTCTTGTTTTGACGCGGCTACATCGCCGTGTGTCTGATACACCGGGTTTATCGTAGTTCGCGATGATTATCTAGACGTTTCTTCCATGAATCAACCTACCTTTATCGTGTAAGGCGTCAGCATCGCATGGCATATCGAGGTTGGGGCATTTAAGACGTCTGGTGATATTAGGTGCAGGTGCTCATCTGATAGCAGCCCCACTTAATATAGCGGTTAGGATGGATCAGGGTTAGGGTTAACTAACGGATATGGAAAGTAGAGGTAGTAGTATCAGATCATAGATGAGTCTGGTATCGTTTTATCGACAGCCACTGGCATATCCTTGTGCAACAAACATTGAATGGTATGGCGTTAATTTTCTATTGCTGGAAGATGCTGTGGCCGGCCGTGGCGATCAATCGAGTGTTACACGGAAAAGGCCCAGCAGATCGCGAAGCCCAACAAAGGGCTTCGCCGATACAGGACTTATTAGTTACACAGCTAGAACACGTGCCCGGGCAAGGACCCTAGGCCCGGGCGTTCCTTTGATGTATATAAGGCGGTCACCCTTCTCTTCCTACCTTACAGGAACTCAGGACCTTTGACATCCTACGAGATTATTATTGAATTGAGCCCTTTATCGCTCCAAGCCTTCATAATTGAACCCTTGTCACATCGAGCCTGTCATGGTCCGAGTTTGAGACGGACATGGCCAACATTGGGTACCAGGTACCCCGCCATGGTGGCTCAGCGCGGAGATTCGAATACCGCAAGGAACAAATGAGCAGCGGTGTAGAAAATGTCAATCCTGGGACTATGGTATTTCACGAGCCACACTGCAGACGTGGAAAAGTACCACGCCATGTTGCCCAGTCATTGTGGCTACGAAGACTTGAGAAACGGTTCCAATTACAGCTATGAAACGAATACCAGCAGTAAGTCGAGTCATGTTGATACTATTACGTGGCTGAGAACCTTGGAGAACTAACATGAATGGTAGGGACTTTTCTGCTCAGTTCAAGAACAAGAATGATGGCGTTGCTGGAACAACATGAAGCATCGTTCATAATGGGTCTCTTGATGCGGCATGGCCGGACAGGCTAAGGAACCTATTCCAACAAAGACAAAGACAAGAATTCCAGTGGCTGGAGTACATCAGACGAAGGGCAAAGAGCATATTAATGGATTTATTAGTGTCTCGGTATAATTTCATAAACAGTAAGTTATATTAAGTGATATGAGCAGCAAAGACGGCCATGACACCGGCGTCTTGGAGGAAGCTAGCTAAGCTAACTTGTGACAGATCTCGACGGCATTCGACTTGGGCGATGGCAATGCCAAAGGCTTTCACGGACTATTGTGTGCTCTGAACTTGAAACTGGGCCGCTTCAAGAGCTGTGACAGCCGTCACGAAGGCCAAAGCGTCACCAGCTGATGGCCTCCCAAGTGTGAAAGTTATGGTACGGGCGCTCGGATACCTTGGACACGACACATGGCAACCCGTGGGGTTATAAGCGCATTCGAAGCGCCAGAATGGAGAGATGCGGCATTGCGGTTAATTTTGGATCATTGGACGGGGTTATTAAGGCTAATTGTACATATCTGTTGGGTCGAGTCAAATTTGAGGATTATCGTCAGGGGTCCCAAGGGGGCAGGGGCCTCCAACCGGCTACATGTATAAAAGGGCACGGGGTCATATGAGCAGGAATTTTTCATCATCGACAATAAAAAGCTATCAACTCAGGCCCTAAAAAGCCTCCCAAATTTCGTCATCTTCCACTACGCAAAATTGCTGATGTAAACTCAACAGTATCTCTGCAAGTGCCTAGGAGCTTGTAGAGCACATGATACAGGGGCAAATGCCAATCAGATAATAGCAGATAACCGGTATATCAAGCTTGATATAAATATCCAGATAAACGATGTATTCATTTTAACATGACTACAGGACGGATTAGTTGACTCGACTCGACTCGTGATTGACGATGCTGGGGGCACTGGGGCCCCACAAGGGAGGTGGCACTTGTACAAAAAAAGATCAATGATCGATTCATGCTTGCTCAGTGGATATCCACAAGCATTTGATATTACCTATTAGGATCGCCTCGACATCTCTGATTGGCCAGAACCGGCTTGCAAGTGTGCTTCGGATTTACAATTTGGTTTGTCATCTCCGACAGTTACACAGGACTTTTATCATTTACGCTACTACTCCGTATTATGCGGGGGCATATTCGGCGACCGATACTTGCCGGCCTGATCTCGGTGGAACTCTCGGAGATGGAATCTAAAAAAAAATACAAATCCGAAGCGCACACTTCTCTCCTGGAGCGTTTTTTTGAGCTACTTATATCCACTCAGAGGTTGACATAAACTTAATAGGTAGATACATATGTAGTACTTGTCCTTGTAGAGTGGCACCCCTTGATACCTGGATGTCCATCTAGGGCGCGCCTTTTCCATGCAGAGTCTTGTGCGCACAGGCGAGTAGATCAGGCGCAAATGCGCAACTTTATTTGCCGTGGGCTGAGCTAGCCGTAGCGATATCCGGCAGATTGGACTCGGTAGTCTTGTTCCCACCAGACGTTATCTCACTCCACATAATCCACAATATCGTGTCAATCTCTTTAGTACACCCGCATCATTGGCTCGAAAATGCCCGACTGTCCTCGCGATACTTTTGGCATTTAGAGGCCCATGGGATGTCAATTCGTTAGTGCCATCAGCAGCACAGCACTTGTGACGTTGTCATCTGCCATCTCCTTCCCTGTATACCCGGCACGGCCTTGTCTTGGTTCCAGTGGACCCATTCTCTCGTGGTCCTTGGTTCTATTTTCACCATCTTGGTAGACATTCTGTCATTCTTAACATCTTAAAACCCAGCTCGTGGAGCCGAAAGAATGTCAGAATTGATTTCTAGGCGCCAGCCATTCACGCCTTGGGTAAGCTTACGAGTATAGCGCAAAGCGTAATCGTCTGCATTGTGCTTCACGAACGGCCCTTCTTCGTCTCGAACCCGAAACCGCTGTCCCAGGAGCACTCGGCCAATTAGCCTGGGGTAGCAGATCAATGGAGGTGCAGGGAGCTAGCTACCTCGAGCTAGCATACAATGATTGTCCAAGACAGATATGCGACACTAGACTATGATGCCATCCTGGGAATGATGCTGTGACCAATGCACCGCCAGTGATTGTTTATACTTGTCTTGGCCCCAAAGCTCGAACAAGTATAAGTTGACTACGACTAGGCGTAAAGATAAGCAGTACTTACCCAAGGCTAGTCGGTACATTGCAACGGCACTGTAAATATACACAGAGCGCCGGCGTGTAAACTCTTTCATCATCTCAACCCTGCTATTCCACCTCATCACCCCGGCAGCTGGAGTTCTCTCTGTCAATATCTCTTTGATCTAAAGGCAGAGCAATAACCTTCCTTTCTTTGCTGAAAACCGCAACACATATCACCAGACCGGGCGTTTACAAAGCCGCAATGGAGGAAGTAGACGCAGCCGAGCTCAAGCCCAACCATGCTGACAATGACGTTGCAGCTACAGAAGACCTCACCCCAGAAGAGGATAAGAGACTCCTCCGCAGGATCGACTTGTAGTATGTCCCTAATTATTCGTTGCCGCGAAACACCCATCTGCATTTCGACAGCTAACATGACTGAATAGTCTGTTGCCCATCATGGCGGCTTCGTACATGTTCCAGTTCCTAGGCACATCGGCCATCGGATTCACAGCCATCCTTGGACTCCGCGAGGATCTGCGCCTGACCGGCACAGACTTTTCATGGGCAAACAGCACATACTACTTTGGCTTCCTCATCGCAGCATACCCGGCCAGTATGATCATGGTGCGCTGGAGAGTCGGCAAGATGATTGCCGTGGCAGTGTAAGTCGTAAAACGCCCTCCTGC